CGATTGTTTTGTTTTCGCGTATTTGATTGTTTTGATTTTACGTTACACCTGATCTTTCGATCTAATTGGCTAAAAATTACGTTTCGGAAAAATTTCGTTACTACAGTCAGGGATATTACTGTATTTGGTAATGGACGATCGCACCCTATTTAGTAGTGATCACTGATCAGATTATTCTAGATTTCTTTCCAGATTGTTCTACGTATTCAATGATTAACCAATCAAATTTTTTAAATTTTACATATCGATAGTACTGTAGCAGCAGTATTTTTCTAATACTACACGTCTTTGACAATTGGTAACTAACTATACATTACGTTATTATTACACTGCTTGCATTAATTTTTTTAATACAATAAATTTTATTTTCATACACTTATAAAGTTATATATATGTGTTAACAGAGATTAAACCCAGCACGAATTTAAACTTTGATCACCCATTTCCAAGATTGTATTGATCATAATGTAAGAATTATAGAATAACCAACCTAACATTACAGCATTAATATTACTTAAATACTGAAATACTGAAATAGCTTACGTCGTATACTTTACCGATCTCAGGTAGTTCAAGTATTATTACCAAGATGAATTACTGGTTTACTGGATTGGCGTCGTCAAGCCTGGTTTTAGCAAGTACTGAAGTACTCAGGTGATCGTTTTCCTATAACTCTTGCTATCTTATCAATGACTTTGCTAACAGCATTATTTTCCTATTAACTATATTTTATTCGTCAATACCGATCATTCATAAGTCAAGATATCATTCTAATTATTACAGTATTTTCTACTGCAATTACAACCTTTAGAATAGGCATTCATTTCTTATCTAATTTATTCAATTCCACATTGATCAGATTTCATTTTTTATCAAAATGTTATTTCTGTATTTTTGGGTAGTTTTGTAGTTATACAAATTGTATTGTTGATAGATCTTGTTTGAATTTTTCATCCTTATATCAGCATACTGCGTATAAATCCAATCATTAAATAAATAAAAATGATATTGAATAAAATTTCGTGTGCCCTATATATTAAGTTTATGTACAAAAAAATTTTATGTGCGCAATTACCTTAGGCGCACGTTCAAATTTTCTACACGTCCCTCATGTAATTTTCAAAAGACCCCAAAAAGACGATTGAAAGCAAAATTTATAGTGTTATCAAGAATTACTTAATTGTGATGAAATAATTAACTCAACCCAAATTAATATAAAATTTATTTTACAATTACTGAGTTATTATCTTTATTAAAATATTTTTATATTACATTTGATTTATTACAATATTATGATAACAATAACAGAATAACCCAATAACCCAATATTAACAATGCCCGCATGATTTTTTTTTTTTGCAACATAAAAATTTTCAAAAATTCAAAAAATAAATAAATATCTTACCCGCTTACATTTCATTATTAGTATTACTGCTATTGTTAGCTAATATATTTCTAATTTCTTGAAGAATATTCATTAAGTTATCACGAGATTTATTTGATAAACTTCGGAAACGTGATCGATCTGCATCACCTAAAAGAGGAATTAAAGAATTAATAATTGACAAAATTTGTGGTCTTGTTAAAGAACTATCATTTTTTTGAAGGTCTGCCTCTTCACATGTTATAGGTATTGGATGCCAAGCGCCTAATGAATTTTTTTTAATTAGTTTTGCGTTAATAAATTCAATTCTTTTTGTACATGCAATTTCACTAAATTGCTTCATTTCTTCACTTAGCGCCCATTCTCCACTTATGCTTTGAAAAGTACGATTGTTGGCATTTGGATTTACAAACTGAATGCTTCTTATTCGAGCTCGAAATCGATTTGATTCAGAAATAAAGCTAGGATGTGTACGAGGTTGATTGGTTTCATTTTCAGAATAACCTATTAAATTGAAAAGATTAGTACGTAATTTCACAAACTTTGTACAATTACGGGCCGCAATTTCCCAATGCCGTTGTGAAGGTATTGGAGGAATTAAAGACTTGAGTGCTTTGTTAATCTCTTCAAGTATCGCATCATGGCCTTGGTGTTGATTCGAAAGTTTAGAACGTGAGGTTACAATTCTTTCTTGAATTAAGTTATAAATTTCGGGCTTTAATCATAACATTTGTTCCCCTTCATAAATCCTAATTAATCGATAAATTGGATGTTATTGAGCAAACCAAATAGGTGCAAATGTTCGTCTAGCCGCAAGTCTTAGTGAAGACCTATTAAAACGAACTCCGGTACGAAAGTTAATAATTGATTGCAAATAAACAAAATTTTGCTCATACTTTAATTTAAATATAGGATCAGTTTGTTTTTGAGCCCATATTAAATAACCTTCAACAGAAGGATTTTCCTCAGCAATAGCATATAGCCACATTAATTCAGAAGCCATCGCATGCCTATATATGTTACATACCGAATCCCATGACTTATGATGGTCAGAACATTTTTTGAAAAACTGAAGTTGATTTTCAGTTTGATATCCTTGACCTTGCGCAAAATCTTTCATATCGATATCCCAATTTAATTCAACAAATGCTTTTAACATGTTCATTTCTTCGTGAAGAGCACCTGGAATTAATATAAGCCAAGGAAAATCTTTTTTCATTTTTAGTATATGATGATACGGTACACCATCACAAGTAACTACAACTCATTTACAGCTATTTTCCTTAACTCCAAATATTTCTTCAATATGTTCAAGAACTTTTCGAACGTTAGCGATCAAGTTAGGATTAATACTTATTGGATCTGGAACAAATACTTGTGGTGTATAAACCTCTTGAGCTGATCGTAGCTTACTTGATTCCCTAAATGTATATTGATTAACAACTAGTGACTTTTCATTAGTATTTATTATATTAAACGCTTCATAATTTTGCTGATTTATTTCAGTAATAGTTGGTAACTTATTATGACACATAGGACAAACCTGCTTCTTGTTATCGATATTGGAGGTTTGACAAATCGAGCATTTTTTCATACAACCCGTTTGGCTTTGATAACGTATTAAGTTATCAATTATATTTGTTTCTTGATTTTTTTCAATACATAATTCTTCTAAAATAATTGAGAGATAATTAGTAAGTTCTTCATGAATTTTATTTTCCATACCCGAAGTTAAATAAAATAATTCTTCATATTGCTTTTGGGTAAGTTCAGAATATAACCAAGGATCTGTAATCTGAATATTGTTAACTGGATCATAATTAAAAGCAACAAAACTTGTAACAGTATGAAATATAACCGTGTTATGTCCATGGTCCAAATAATTTTTTTGGCCTTTTTGCTTATTGTCAAAAGCTAAAAATAGAAGACCTTCGGGAAGCGTTGGCTGTTCTACAGCTAAACTTTCCAACCAGTTGGTAAATTTCGGATAACTATCTAAAAAATAAAATGCCTTTAATATCCATAAAATTAAAAAAAAAAAAACGATTGATGATAAAAAAAAAATAATTAAACCAGAACTAATAATATGATTGTCGATGTCTACAATCATTTTTGACCTTGCTAATGAATATTTAATTGCCGAAGCAGCCAAATTGATGCAGAAACATATTTTAAGTGCCTTGATCCAAATATAGCATCAACAGCTACGGCACACTTAAAAAGCTTTTCACCACATTGTTGTTGTTCATTTTCATTACGAGTAAGGGTTTCAATAAACTTAACAACAACAGGATTTCGTTCTGTAAGCCATTTGGAAGGAGAATATTCTAAAAGACTATCCAAAGAAAATCGCTTCTGATTTTTCATCAAACCCGTTATATCCTCATACAAATTACTTCGTTCCTTTTCAGCAATTTCTACAATAGACTGAATACGATCTTGTTGGTTAGTAAATCTTACGTTAAACCTTTTTTTTAACGCTTTATTTTCAGCTAACAATTGCCTATTAGCACTTTCTAGTTTACAAATTCGCTCTAAAAGAAGTTCATATTTTGGATCCGGCAAAGATACTTGAACTTCAAAGTCGACGGAAGTTGGTTCAACTTGAGTGCCAAAATCAGCAAACCTTTTTTCGTCAGAAAGTTTTAATCTTTTTCTTCCACCCTCATCTAAATTTAATTGCTTAATAAAAGAAGGCTTAGCGACAATCTGGTTATAGTGCCATTCACATAAAGAATAGTTATTCAAAGAATCATGATATGAAGTTAATTCAGGAAAATACTTAGCCATTTCTGTAAATCGTTTAGTTGCTGCATTAGCAGACGCATTACGCCACTGCTGCCTTTCTTCAGGTTTATAGCCCATTATATGCTTTAGTAAGTCACTTCTTGGATACTTTTCAGCAAAAGAAACGAGTAGACAGGGTAGAGTTTTGGCTTCTACTTTTGAACTCATTCTGAATAATATAAGATCTAAGTTATGTAATTAAACTTAATTTTACGAGAAAAGTAATTTGTTAAAGCCCTGGGATCCTCACGGATTCTGAAAATACGTATTGGAAAATATGTATTTCTATAGTTAGACACAACCTTTATTGCGGTACTGGATCGACGAAAGGTCACGAATTTCTTTATAAAAAAGATTACTAAGCGCCAATTACATGCCGATGCGTGATTTGGATTATTCTAGAAATGATCTTTGAATTTTGAAATATCCCCGACTGTAATATAGAGAGTTTACATTATGATTTCATCAACTGACTTAGTTTGTAAAATCGTATAGGTCAATTTTAACAGTATAGTAACTAAAAATTGCATATAGGTGGTCTGAAACTAATAATTAAATATAATTAGTGTGATATATTATTGATAAGAAAATATTCTAATTAAATATAAAATGGAAACATTTTATTTTTTAATAAAGTAAAACTCAACACATTGAAAATTAAGAAAAATAGTAACACAGGCATCATTGTATTATATCTCCTCTTATAAAAAGGATTCTGTGAAATTTGTACGAATTATATT